CTGAGAAGGAGAAGGACTGAGGAGGAGAAGGACTGAGGAGGAGGAGGAGGTGTAGGAGGACTGAGGAGGAGGAGGAGGAGGAGGAGGAGGAGGTGGAGGAGGAGGAGGAGGAGGAGGAGGAGGAGGAGGAGGAGGAGGAGGAGGAGGAGGAGGAGGAGGAGGAGGAGGAGGAGGAGGAGGAGGAGGAGGAGGAGGATAAGGAGGTGGAAGACTTGGGAGGAGGAGGAGGAGGAGGAGGAGAAGGAGCAGTGTGGTTGACTATTTCGTAATCACCTCATGGGCAAGAGATCATTGCTTTGTGAAATTAGTATGAATTTATCTTGAGCCGTCCTGCAGGACATGCAAACTTTGCTGGAGTATAGTTTTGCGAAACAAACTTAACCCGTTACCCGACCCTTGGAAATCATGACATTTGAACTCCCTCAGCTTCGCTTTCTTGATCGAATGCTGATGCTAAAATCCCCCCCCCCCCCCCCCTCCTGAGGAAGAGGAGGTCTGAGGAGGATGATAAGGAGGAGGATGTCAGCATGAGGAAGAGGATGAGTAGGAACACTGAGAAGGATGAGAAGGAGGATGAACCATCTAAATGTTATTTTTGTAACAGTTTTTGTTCGCTCCGAACAAATCATGAACATTTGAACTCTCTCAGCTCCGCTTTCTTGATCGAATGCTGATGCTAAAATCCCCAAAATTAGTTTTTCCCCCGTTCAGCAACAGAGTTTCTGCCGATCTTTAAATGTCGATCGTTCCTAAGAGGGTTGTGCTGACCTCAGTTGCTGCCTCCGAATCTGCTTCCTCCGATTCTAACATATTATAAATATCATCAGTGCAAGTGGGACAGTCCACTTCATCATTCTCACACTCAGTCAACTCTGCAGGGTCATTTATATCCTCCTCTCATTCAATCGGATGATGTTTTCATCTTCAAATATTTGCAGGAAATGTAACTTGAACTTCTTACCATCGTCCACGACAGCCTTGGTACCTCGTTCCGTGGCTTTCTTCAAGCTATCTATTTTGATGTCACTTGAACTCAAATCGTGGACCTCCTTCGTATCATTCTTCCATGTCTCGTGTGGTAGTGGAACTTCTTCCCTGAAAATACAGCGTCCACGGGAATGGGCATAGGCTGTCATGTCATCTGCAAGAGCGAGCTCTGAGCGAAGATTTCTTTTCTCGCAGCCGTATGCTAAAGTTATGGCATCGAGATTTGTGCGGCGACCAGCAAAGATACCAGTTCGAATCCAAGCAAATAGTTGTTCATTAGCATCAGATCCTAGTAGGTATGTTGTTACTTTTGCAGAAAAAGGAGATTGAGAATGAGTCCATCGCAAGTACATTTCAGATCTTTAAACGTCTGCCAAGTTATAAACTGACAACTATCAGTTATATTAGATTTCCAGAGAACAAAAAAAGACTTGCAGTACCAAGCCTTTTCTACTCTCTGCTCTGGACTAAAATCCTTGTCTAAGAAAACCTCAGCTAGAAAATGGATACTCTTCAGAAAAAGTCCTGTGGCTGAATATCCTTCTCTCAAAAAATACTAGTATAAGCAGGACAGATCCTGAACAAGTGAAGGATCTTGACGGTCAGTCAGATTCAAAGCACTGAGAGAAGTATAGGCAAGCATATAGGGGTTGTCTTTGATGAAATTATAGATGAGTGGTTACATCAAATATGGAACCTAATTCAGGTATTTAATGACATGTATGATTACTGGAAGCTTTCTGGAATCCAATAGATAAAACATGTAATGGATAAGAAATCACACAAATTTCTATACATTTTTTGTAGATAAATGTAGATATTTGTAGATTATTGTCAATGGATAATTCACGAAAAAAGTGGATGACATTCTACAAATATCTACAAATATCCACTTGGCCCCCCCCATAATATTATAATTAAAATGTTTCTTTTCGAATTATTGGCGGAAAACTGATGTATGTGGCTTTGCAATTTTTTTTAACAAAATGACATATTGGGTTAGGAAGCTGGAAAAATATAATATTATATAATGATTACGCTAAAGCGTTCGACGAGGTGGATCATTCCCTACTTCTTAAAAAGGTTAAGTCGTATGTAATACAAGGTAATCTGTACAAATGGATTGAACAATTCCTCCTTGATAGGACTCAAACGGTCATTGTTGATGGAAAACATTCTAAGGCCAATGCCGGTTATCAGTGGAGTACCGGAGGGGACTGTACTTGGTCCAATCCTCTTCCTTCTTTACGTCAACGATCTGGATCAGTACGTGAAAGATTCCAAACTTTAAGCAGCTTTGCCGATGACACCCGAATAGGCAGAAAAATATCAACTTTAAACGACTGCAATCTTCTTCAAAGCTTCAAGAAGATCTACACAGAATCATACGTTGGTCCGAGGACAACAACATGAAACTGCACGAAAACAAGTTTGAACTTGTTTGCTATAGAACACCGGCCTCTAAATCACTTTCAGAGGAGCTGCCATTTATGAGTGACATCACAAACTACACCACTCTAAATGGATCAATCTTAGAAAGACGCCCATTAGTGCGTGACCTGGGAGTCAACATGTCCGATGATTACTTCTGGACACCACATATCAATATCATGGTTGACAAGGTACCTCAGATGGCATCTTGGGTTCTTGGAGTATTCAAAGACAGGACAGCACCTGTTATGCTCCAGCTCTACAAATCCCTGATAAGGCTCCAGACTCCAGAGTGGAGTACTGCTGCCCGCTCTGGAATCCAAACAAGATCTATGATATCCAGTCTATCGAGAGCATACAACGCCAGTTCACTAGACGGATTCTAGGGCTCAAAGACACCGATTATTGGAATAGACTGAAGGAACTGAAACTTACATCACTGCAAAGACGCTGAGAACGCTACACCATCATACATTTGTGAAAAGTTCTCCAGGGTATATATCCAAATGACCTAGATGTACAGTTCAGAGAGAATGCCAGACTGGGAGTTAAAGTTATACTCCCTTCACTCACAAAAAAACATCAGCTGCTGCACGCTCCACCTACAACCACTCATTCGCAATGAGAGCTGGAAGACTCTGGAATGTTCTCCACAAAATGTTCAATACTCAAAGGATTTTGACAAGCTCCAAGACATCTCTTGGAAACTTCCTAGACACCCTTCCAGACAAGCCCCCTACTCCTGGAATTAAACAGGAATTAAACAGGAATTAAACATGAAATGACCAAGGAGAACACTAACGAACTCGTCTTGGTAATACAGCAATTCATAAAGACGATAAGAACTCTAAAAATTGAGAGAATGCTATACAAATAAATTCTTAAAAATTAACCGCGTTACAAATTCACGAAAAAAAATCGAATGTAATAATTTAAATACGAGTAAAAAAGTCATGGAGGAGAGTTAATGACGATGAGTAGGAGACGGGAGGTGATTACTAGGACTTCTTTTCAGGAGGATGTCGAAGGTAGAAGGATTCTGTGAGGTACTTTCCAAATTCTGTTGCATGGAATGAGTTCATGATGGCCCCATATTCTGGATACAGTGTAGAAAAATCTAACTCAATAATAGACTGGTGCAGTCAAAAAGGTGGTCCGCAGATTGCGTGATGGCCGTGAAGATGCCTACTTCTAAACGACTCGATAGGTTCAATAGGTTCAATACAAGTATGTGACATATTGAGAAGGTCACAAGGACTATCAGACTGATGTAACATGTTCGTAATGGCCGGTAATCGCACTATATAGTGACAACAAGTCTATATAGTGACAACACTTTACAATGACAGCTGATATTTGTCACTATATAGCGTGCAAAACGCACTATATAGTAACAGCACCATATAGTGACACGTTTATCTTATATCGACTTTTCTATACTTTTCACTCCACTCTACTTTACTTTTCTTTAATTCTACTTTACTCCACTTTACTGATTCTTTAAATTATGATTGAATTTAAAAACGTTTATAAAAAAGTATAGTGAACTATACAGCAATGGCCACAATTACATATTGATTAATGATAATCATACACCTCACAAATATCTCCAAAATAACTAATAATAATCCGTTTGGTCATAATGGACCTGATATAAGTCCAGGCTTGCTGAAAAATAATGGGTTTGATGGAATGATGGTGTCAAGTCCTGGCAGAATGTTCTCCAGGCATTACGCTGGGAGTTGGATATCAATTTGTTATATTGTTTTTTGCTCTCTATAAGAGCAAGCCATCGCGTCATGCGAGGTGTAACCGCGGCGAAATTTTTGTTCAAGTTGCTTTTAGACAATATTGTGGAGACAATATGCTCTAGCAAGTAGCTAGTCGTGCCCGTCAGATCTACTTTTACAAGGCTTTAGAGTGGTGCCTGGTACCATGGACAATACATTCCAGAAATGCTTGTGGCAAATTTTCATAATGCCCTAACTATGTGGGGTTAAACAAAGCGAGACACCTATTGTGCGCAACAAGTCATGTTCGTTGAGCGTGTCGTCCGGATACCCATGCCATGTGCTCCTTACGACTGGATCAGTGGATCACTTCGAAATACGTGACGTGAACCGACCCGACGAATCACTTAATTGTCCATAAGAAGGATAGGATCGGACCTGAACTTGGAAATATGACAGGATCTGGTGTCACACTACAGTACTCTACCTGGACTGTAGTGCGACATGAACTCTAGTGCGAAAGAGGGAGGTCTTGTCGAACTTCAGTATTCGCACTACCGTACGTGTCGCACTACAGTACGTTTACCTCCCTGCATGATGATATGACAGGAATGATCCTGGGATGTCAGAAAATTCAAAAAATTCTTTCATATTGTTGAAATGTTTACCGAAATTATGTGTCTTTAAAATCGATGTGGACCACATATTTATGCTAAGTGAGTATAGCGGGAATTGCAATCATGAGTCAACACGCACGCACGCACGCACGCACACACGCACGCACGCACGCACGCACGCACGCACGCACGCACACAAATTTTATTTTTAAATTCAAAAAGTAAAATCATGATTAATATTGAATTTTTATATTGTTGCTAGATCTCTTGCTTAAATTTTTCAATAAATAAATGAAATTATAATTTATTCTGTCTCACAGCAAAAAAGTGGAAAGCATGTTTAAAACTAAAAAATGTCCCAGGTCCATTCATCTATGATATGCTGTAATTTTCTTAGCATGATCAATGATCACAAGTCCAGTGCCCCAAAAGCCCAAATACCTAAACTGCAGGGCACTTGTTCGGTTATCCTAAATTCAGTACACCCTTAAGAAACATACAAAATGTAACTTCTTCCTTAGTGTTATTGTAGTTTCTAATTTTAATAACAGTAGCTTTACAGAATGCGAAGAAGGAGAAGATACTGGCCCCGAGGAACAGCCCCATAACTCCACCAATATCACTCAGCAGATTCCACAACGTGTATGCCGGCACACTCGCAATTAGTTCTGTGAATGAGTCTGCTAGATAAAACTCCATCAAAACATGGTTTTTCAGTAAGAACTCCGCAGACGTTTCCAGCCCCCGCTCGTCGCCGATCTGTTCAGCCAAGATCTTAGCGTTTCTGGCAGATATTTTAGAGGAAGAGACCACAATGTCGAAGTACCGTTTGTAGCAAGCTGGGGGGCAGCTCCCAGAGCAGGTGAAAGACTTACTGTCCACAAATAAAGGAATACCAGTGGGGGTCTGGGGCAGGGCTGATGCGGTAGTTACGGTCCTGTTTGTAGACGAAGTACTAGTTACAGGAGGTGAGGATGTGGAGCTCAGCTGAGTGGGAACCTCCTCTCCTAGCGGACCCGCTTCAGCATCACTATTGGGCATGTTCTCGTCCCTGGTGAGGAAGTGGTAATAAGCCACCCAGCCACAGTCCTCCATCTGCTTTATAGAGCAGGTTGGGTAATTGTACCGGTTATTAGGAGGAGCTGATATTATACACCCACACGTGGAGTTTATGTATCTATCCCTACACTCGTACTCACACGAGTCCGCGTCGTACGCTAAATACGAGGTGACATTACGTGTGGGGTCGCACTCTCCACCTGCCTCGAACTCCAACTCAACCCGGATCTTAGGTTTTATCCCGACCCTGTACTTGTAGCCAGGAGACATCTCAATCTTGCTGCTGCCTTGGAATGTGGTGTGGTGGTGTATGTCCACTATAAACCCTACTTCAGGCACGGTAGCTGGGTACTCTGCACGGTGCACATTCATTAGGAACCGGAAGCAGCCCTCGTTACCAACACTCTTAGAGAACACTGTACCCTGGGGGTTGAAAGTATAGCACTTCCCACTTGCTCCTACATCATCAGCGAACAGTTCACTTTTGTGATAGTCAAGTTCATCACAATCCAACCACCCACCGTATTTACACTGATCTACTGCACGTTGCCACCCGAAACTGTTAGCGTACACATCACTATAGGTCAACCTTCCTATCTCAGCTGCAGTCTCGTTCTTCCAATTAACAACCTTTGAAGCCTCTAGTCTGTCCCAAACTTGCTTGAATGTCGGATTGAGGTCTAGGAATGAGTTCTCTATCTTGTTCATGTTACAGATGGAGATGGTCGGGAACTCTAATCCATCCTGGTCAGGTTTAACACTGGTTATTACTATCTGGGTGGGTCGTTCGAAGAAGCGGTTGACAAACAAGCTGATGTTGTAGATGGAGAAGAAGGCGGCTGCTAACCAGGCAGTCATGTAGAATGTTTTCCAGACTGTTCGCACTATGCCCAGGCAACGGGCTTCTTTTTCTGGCTCATCTTCCTTCTCCTCTCCCTGAGGGATAAGAAAATTTTTAGCAATACTATTTCATGCTTCAAATTTTCAGATATATACTCAAGGTGAAACGTGAGAAATAATTGAATTGTTGAAAAGTTGAAACTGTTTGCAGAATAAAAAACCAATAAGAGCTCCTAAACTTACCTGAGGGACACAACGATGACAAGTGCTACATTCTTCTACACTCTTTACATTGCTTGCTGAAGTGATTAGATAAGGACAAATAAAATGTGGATTGTAGAAGCATCAAAATATATTGAAAATTTGTATGACGCATATGTTATGACGTGCGAGATATATTGTATTGCAATGAAATGACCCTCTGCACTATAAGTGGAAGAACCATAATCCAGCAGAACATCGGTTCAAAAAAACCGATTCGACTGTAGACCATGATCCACCCAGTTATACAGGTAGCTGATAAAAGATATTGATGGGGGGAGGGGGGCTGCAGAATTAATTATTATTGGATAATAGGACAATTCTCCCACCAACTATAACAATAAAGTGGGAGTGCAAGAGGGTTACTTAATTAATCATAGTCGGAAAAAGTTAAAAGCGTGTAACGGAAACATTTCTTACTTGAATTCTGGCGCTTCAGTGCAGGACTGTGTGAATTGGGGCATATTTTCGTGTCTGTCAATCCTTGATCGGTACAGTTGTTCAGATGGTCGATACTGTTGTTCAGATGGTTTTCAGGCTGCAGGTTGTTTTGTGAACCGCCGTACGGGTAGATCTCCGTAGGGCTATGGATTTTATTTACCGATGATACGGGTTGAACAACAGCGTCCTTGACCTGAAATAATGTAGATATTAATTCTCGACCAATATTTAGTAATAAAGGCCTTGAAGTTCTATCCTACTTAATCATTTCGGTCAAATTTATTTTAATGCGCGCAACGCCAATCGTGTGATACTTAATTGCACGCATAGTAACCGGCATGTTTAGTGGTTGACTACTGTTATGTTACACAAGTTTCAAATATACTACATTTTACTCTAATTCAGGAAAATAGCGTTCAAATCATTTGAACGAAATCGTCAATGTCAATGTTATTTTAGTGAAACAAGTCTGATAAAATAGCCGGTGCTCAAGTTCAGCTATGTCAAGACAAATCTCATTATACTTATAATATCGCTGATAAACTCATCACTCATGGATACTGTTCTTAGTTGGGCACTAATTGAAAATTGATCTTATTTTGAATTTACATCCAGGAAGCAACTAAAGGTTCGCTGTATGCTGTTAAAGAATTTAATATCAAATTAAGGGCTGTTCGAGTGTCGAGTAAGTATCACAAGTTTGAAATTTATTAGTGAATGGATGGAGTAAAATGGCCGGAATTCTGTTCTGTTGAAATTCGGTAACTCCTACATTTAGTTCTACTGGTATCTAAGATTGAATATCTGATTAGTTAGATCGTTTAGTCGACGTGAAGAATGTTCTTACCAACGATTTTTAATAGAGGGCATTGTCAAGAAGAGTAATTGTATTCAAAAGTTGAGGTCATATTGAATTTTTTTAAATTTACAACAACATAATATTATATCGATAAGATTTTTATCATAAATTCATTGAGTCCGTGGGACTGCTAGTTAACTAAGCTTTGATACAAAGCATGCAAACTCAAAGTCGCTCTCACAACTTTTGTCAACTGTAATAAGAGATCTGGTTCCTCTTATACACAGGAAAACCAGCTTCCTGATAAAAAAGATAAAAGAAACGAAAAATTGATCGTGCGTGGCATTAAAGAAAAAATTGATCGTGCGGGGTGTAACCGCGGCGAAATTCTTTTTGTCCGGCAGATCTATAAAATCTGTCCAATGCAGCTTATAAAGCATTGTCCAGTTTTTTAGTTTATGTTCAATTTGCAAGGTTCAAATAGTGAATTAAGCTGTCACCCATGACGATAGCTAGTTAAGAGTGGATACTATCATTGTGGGAACATTTAACCACTTACGATTAATAGACTAACTACACCGACCATTCTGAAAAACGTACTTTCCGTCGCTGATTACGAAGGTCAGCTAGCTGCACGGGGTATTGCTGTAGTAGTACACAATACTTTATAGATCGCACTTTAAACTATTATGCAAAATGCATGTTTGCTTGAGAACTAAAAATGAAGCCAAACTTTTGACTGAATCAAATCAATAGTGACAACTATATCAATCGTCGAAAAAGGTTTTGGAATACCAACTAATTGTCTAAATTTTATCAAACTTTTGTTCTCTCATTATGAAGAGGTATTTTATAATGACACAATTACATGAAACTCATATTCAAAGTAATCAGTGCATGCAGCAGATATATTAAAAACGGTTGGATGAATATAATATATGATATTAATGCTTTTCATACTATTACTCTATTATACGATGAGAAACGTAATAAACGTAATAACTAGAACAAAGAGTATAAGTATATGAAACTCATGTTTATCACGCTGAAAAAATCCTGTGATCAAATTAACAATAGTAACCATAACAATAGGATATCCCATTGTTCTCATTATGGAGATAGAGAATTCTATAGAATAGCTGAGGAGAGACTAATAGAATTATAGAGTGCGTGGGCTATTAGCAGGGCTGCTAGCACATACTCAATATTTTTACGATCTAACGCTAGCTACAATTACGGTAAAGAGGGGTACACAATATGAAAAAAATCGGTAATCGCACTATATAGTGACAATACTATATAATGACAAGCACTTTATAATGACAGCTGATATTTGTCACTATATAGTGTTGTCACTATATAGCGTGCAAAACGCACCATATAGTGACAGCACCATATAGTGACAAGGTTATCTTATATTGACTTTTCTTTACTTTTCACTCCACTCTACTTTACTTCTCTTTAATTATTTTAAAAAAATGTTAATTAACAAAATCATCACATCTCTGACTGTAGGATGTCAGTTATTCTCATTTTTACATCAATGAACACACTATCATTTGGTCTTGCTTCCCTCAAAATTTCGCTGAAAATATTTTATCAACTGCAGGGAAATTTCGCTTCAAACTTGGTTTGATTTCAATATCGAACTCAATTCACCGGGCTATGATTAAAAATAAAACATGTTTTCCTTCATAAAAGATATCTAAGTCGTGACAAAATCCCTACTGTCGGGGTCTATCAATCTGTGCAAGAAATATAACAGAAGCTGGACCATGGAGCGATTCTTTATCGCGCGTAGTGAAAATCATTATTATTATCAATTCAACTATATTTACGATACCACCACTACATGATCGCCTCCCAAGCAGAAGACCCGGGTTCAAATCCGGTCGGATGCAAGTCGGTCAGTTACCAAGCTGTGATTTGGTACAGCTTCGGCTGGTGATACACACTTTCTGGCTCGTAGGACTAACCCCCTTACAGCTAGTATAGTGCCTCGGCACAGAGTGGCTTAGGGTTACTGAAAAGGAGATAAGCACCTCAGGCCATCCCAACGTTCGGGAGAGACCTGCCCTTGTATTTGTATTGTATTGTATATTTACGACAAAACCCTGTATATACCCTGTATATCACACCCTGTGTATATTATGTCCACCTACTGTAGCACAATATTACAGGTACGTAACATTTTAGGTGGCCTAAATTTTGGACTCGCTTTTATTTTATGTCAACAGAAATGGCAAACATGTTGAGATTTGTAGCGAACTCGATCAGAATGAGACTCTCCAAATTAAATATTGGTTTGGTGCAGGAACGTGACAGTTTTAGCAATGACGACCAAATTTCTGCAGAATAATTCAACACAAAGGAAGTTTTGGGCGTTAATTAATAAAAGCTTTCGCATTGAGTAGGCGGCAAAATATTGAGGACTTGCAAGGTGTTAAGGCGTATGTATTTTGTAGAAAGCTGTATTGATATTTTATGACAGTGATCAGAGAGAAGTCAAACTCGAAGAACTTGAAGAAAAGCTTTTGAAGTCAAACTTGAAGAAAAGCTTTTGAAGATGAGGAATGAGCTGTAATCACTTCGTGCTCTGTAATAAAATTAACCATGTCCAAACTGGACTAAGTTATAGATATTGATGAAAATTCAAAATACCGCATCAGTCATTTTGTTGGTGAAGGAAATTGATAGAAGGACTTAAAAGCAAAGGACAGGAGTGAAGGTCACGTGATGTATGGACTGACAGCAGTTATCTCTCTCTGTTAAGGTCGACGGACGCTGACCTCCTGCAGTAAGCAGGAAGCCTTTTCGCTGTGCCCTCAGAGTGCAACTCCTGCTAGCTACACTCAAGGACCCCCTGAGCAAACCCACTTCGGTTGTTGTACCTAAAGGAGCAGCTAAAGGAGCAGCTAAAGGAGCAGCTAAAGGAGCAGCTAAAGGAGGAACTAATGGAGTCGAGTATTGAATATTTTCGATTGGCAATTTCAGGTTCAGGGTAATTTGCCTTTACAGAGTACTATAAAGGTAGTAGTGGTGCATGTAAGGCACGTTTTGAGGCACGTGGTGCACGTGAGTCTACTGTGGCGTGCGCTATCCTAGACGGATTGTTATGATTACAAGTAAAGAATCTTTGACGTGTTGAAGTGTTCAAATTATAGTTTATGAGCGCTAAGACCAGTCAACGCGTATTTGATATGGTTAGAGTCAAATTACTATTTACAATGCCACTGTTCAGATTTACTAGGAATGTCTTCCCCGATACCACACACATTTACTGCTAGTGTCTACTTTCTAGACTCGAGCGCAACATGAACAACCAGGATTTCGGCAGATCTGATTGATATTTTGTGAAGATATTATATTATCGCCGGCGAACAGAATGTGGCGATTTAATTATCGCTGGAGAACAGAGAGCTACATTTTTAAAATTTATGATACAGAGGGGCAATAAAGCTTTACAGAATACAGGTGAAAAAAGGCCCCCAATTGTGGAATGTTGGGGCCACATTTTTCACTGCACTTCTATCTCCCCGCACTCACTGACCTGACCCTTACATTGATTTGTTGATTAACAGACCGTTTAGAATGAAAAGAAGTTAAGATTATAACCTGTTGGGATTTGTTCATTGTAGTAGCCTTTTCGTAAAACGAAAAGCAAACTATAAAAACCAAGCTCTTCCCTCTTTGATCATTGTTCACCTGTTAATATAATTAAGTTATATTTCTCGGCGACATGAGGGGTATATAATATAATTGATATAGTATTAAACTATTAAATCAGCATATTTCAAGTTAAACGGTCGTTAGCATCAAGTAAGAAACATATTGGAACAGCATTTGTAAATATTTCAGTGTCATATTGTGGCTTTAAGTTCAACCGAGTAACTCGTTTAGAACGCATTAGACGAAGATTGGTCCGATTCTTACTGTATGCGATATATAATACAGGGTGGGCCAAAAGTAACGTTACATGGACTTTATAGCTCATAAACTGATTGCCCGATTGAGGTAATTTTTTTTGGTATGACTTACTATCCCCACTCATTCGAGGAATATGTTAAATCAAAGAATATTCATGTTAATTTTTTTCGAATGAAGGTTCATTATCGTCTTTATTTTTATTGCCTTTTGACCAGTATGAAGAAGTACAAAATTGGCCAAGGAATAATAACTTTAGGTCCCGAAATTTGGAACCCCAAGTGGTGTCAAAATCACTGAATAAATAAATATAGTTGTCTCTTAACACTACTTTAGACGGGTTCCTGCTATAAGTAATAATTTGTAAGTAAAGTAAGTAGTATCAACTTTAAATACAATAGAAAGATGAGGTGGAGCTGTATGGTCTAAAGTTCACATTTGTCATTTGTAACAAATACAAGTACAGTTCTATATTATGACGCAGTGAAACTATCGGACTACGATGTATGGGGACTTGCAACCCCATGGCAACATTAAAATGTATTGTATCTGTTACTATGGCAACATCAAAATATATTGTCTCTGTTACCATGGCAACATTAAAATATATTGTCTCTGTTACCATGGCAACATTAAAATATATTGTCTCTGTTACCATGGCAACATTAAAATATATTGTCTCTGTTACCATGGCAACATTAAAATATATTGTCTCTGTTACCATGGCAACATTAAAATATATTGTCTCTGTTACCATGGCAACATTAAAATATATTGTCTCCGTTACCATGGCAACATTAAAATAAATATTGTCTCTGTTACCATGGCAACATTAAAATATATTGTCTCTGTTACCATGGCAACATTAAAATAAATATTGTCTCTGTTACCATGGCAACATTAAAATATATTGTCTCTGTAACCATGGCAACATTAAAATATATTGTCTCTGTTACCATGGCAACATTAAAATATATTGTCTCTGTTACCATGGCAACATTAAAATATATTGTCTCTGTAACCATGGCAACATTAAAATATATTGTATCTGTTACCATGGCAACATTAAAATATATTGTCTCTGTTACCATGGCAACATTAAAATATATTGTCTCTGTTACCAAGACAAAGCTTATTTCTCCCCCACTCTAAAGATCCACAAGCTTCAAAAGGAAGACCTTAAACCAGGAGTCGAGCCCCCCTTCAGGCTCATCACGGCACTTCAAGATGGAATCACAAAACGCAGTGATGTTTTCCTTGCTAGCCAATACCTGAAGGATCTTGAAAAGGATTTCTGCTCTGACCTTTTGACTGATAACACCGATGCCCTTCAATGGTTGGAATTCGTTGATAGTGAACATTCCCCAGTACAGAAGAAAGGCTTCAGATCGTTTACCTACGACTTTAAGGCCCTCTATGACTCTTTAACACCACCCCTCGTCATAGAGGCCTTAAGGTCCGCTATGTCATCATGTAGAGAAGATTGGTCTGAAGACTTCTGCCAATAGCTCACACAACTGGTGGAATTAAGCCTCCGATCCTCTGTTGGGGTGTTCGACCAAAATTGGTTCATACAGCTCATTGGTATCCCTACGGGTGGATCACTATGTGTCCAAATCGCAAACATAGCAGTCTACTACCTAATGAACAAATGTGTTTATAGTAACCCAGAGCTCATGAAGAAGATCGTATCAGCCAGGCGTTACATTGACGACGGAGCAGGTTTGTTTGAGGGAACTACAGATGAGTTCAAAATTTGGATTGCAGATGTCAACAAAGCACTCCTCCCCCATGGCCTAACCATTGATGAGTACCAAATAGAAGATCCTGGTAAATACGTATCTTTCCTTGACATAATGTTCACTTTCGATTCCTTGGGCTCCCTCCAAACGGATTTGTTCATAAAGAAAACGGACTCTCGTTCATACCTACACTTTAAAAGCTCCCATCCAAACCATATCTATTCCGGTATCGTATACTCTCAATGCCTTAGACTCAGAAGGGTCATCAACTGCCAAGAATGCCTCAAAGGACACCTCGACAACCTCAAAAAAGCCTTCCTTGCTGCGTGTTACCCTAGGAAAATGGTTGAGAACATTAGTAATAAGGTTCTCAATTCAACAAGATCACTGTTACGCAAAGTTCAATCTCCTGATGACCAGACATCTTTACACCTTCCAATCAGGGTCATATCTACTTATGGTAGTGATGATGATTTGGTGTCTGTGACTAAGAAGTATGAAGAACACCTCTCAAGAACAAGGAGTTTCAGTGAAAGTGACACTGTTGAAACATCCCAAGAGACCTCCTCAACAGCTTCCACGCCTAGGAAGAAAATATTCAGTTACACCAAGAAAACAGGGCCAAGCCTAAAATCTCGCCTCGTCAAATTGAAAGAACTTGCTTTAGGAGCTAAACATGGTCCAACCAGCAAATGCCATATGCCAAGATGCAAATGCTGCGAACTTGTCAAAGGCAGCCATGAATTCAAAGTTAACGGTGAGAAGGTTAAAGCTTCCCCTAGAAACTGCCTGAGTTACAACATCATTTATCTGTTCCAATGTAGTTTCTGTAGAAAGGCTTACGTCGGTCGCACTACTCGCTCTCTACGGGTTAGAACTGGAGAACATAGGGTCAAATATTATAAACTATTAAATGGTGATAAGGTAGATGAAACAAGTGATGAATATAGTTTGGGCTTACATTTGTTGGATCATGGTTTTAAACAAAGGGAGGATTTTAACAAAATTTTTAATGTTTCAATTATTGATAATTCTAGTCCTAAAACTTTAGAAGTTCGTGAACATAAATATATTCAACAACTCAAGACTTTAAAACCTTAGGGAATAAACACTTTTGCGAAAGCTTTTGATAGCGTTTCGCATGACCTCATTTTAAGTAAATTAAAGAATATTTTTAATGTCGATGGACTAATGCTTAAATTTATCAAGTCCTATCTTGAGGGGCGACAACAACAAGTAGTGATAGGAGGCCAAACGTCTTCCTCTCTACCAGTTCGGTCTGGTGTCCCTCAAGGTTCTATACTTGGCCCTCTATTGTTTGTAATATTTATAAATGACATGTTCTCCTGTGTCTCTGAAGGCACCAATATCGCCCTTTATGCAGATGACACTAAAATTTGGAGGGAGATTCTTGGTTACCCTGACCATCACATAATCCAAAATGACATCAATAGATTGTATGATTGGTCAGTGAGAAATCGAATGAAGTTCCACCCACAAAAGTGCAAAGCCCTCTCTGTGTCCCTGCAAAGAAACGTGCTGGATAACTTGCCATTCAATACCTTCTTCTATAAACTTTCTGGAAGTGATATTGACTTTGTGCCCTCTCAGTCAGATTTAGGAGTCGCAATAAACTCCAGGTTTAATTGGGGTGCACAATGTAAAGCGCTTGTTTCCAAAGCTACCTCCAGACTTGGACTACTTAAGAGAACATGTCATTTCACTACTGATAAAAGGCAGAAAAGATCGTTCTATTTGGCGTTAATTAGGTCTATATTTGAACATTGTTCTGTCATATGGTCCCCTCAATCTGCAACTCATCTTCAACAGTTTGTTGCTATCCAAAAGAGGGCTATTAAATGGATCAATGGTGAACCCTACTCCAGTTATAATGACGATAAACTTGCTACAGAGCAAAAGAAGCTAAATATTCTCCCTGTCATGCAGAAGTTTATTTATAACGATCTTATGACCTTCTATAAAATAGTGAATAGCATAATCCCAGTTTCGCTTCCTACTTATATAGTCCTATGCCGTCCAGAGGGCACCCGATACACTAGGCACAATGCTCAAATAATCGATAGGTCGGATACTTCAACTTACATGAGTACCACTGTGCCCTGCTCGGATGCCTTCCGAAATAGCTTCTTTTATAGATCTATGCTGAAATGGAATAGTCTACCAGTATGTATCCGGCAGTCAGAGCGGATTTCTACTTTTAAGGCCAATCTGATCAAGTACCTCTGGGCTGCCGATACAGTCTGGCCAGACTAGTCTCAGAAATGTGTTTTTGTTGGTTACAATTCTGTCCGTCCAATTTCCTATCTGCTTGTCCTTCTTTTTCTTCTATCAGTTGTGACGGAATTGTAATGAACAAAATCCATATATAATTATTTATGATATGTTTGATTTCTTGTTATTGTATGTCATTCAAATTTGGTAGACGGCCCCAACGTTAATGTGGCTTTTGCTATGTGTTGGTTCAGCCGAATTAATTATTATGTAATCAAGTTTATTTTTCACTTTTAGTTAGTTGTCATCCGGCCAAACATTAAGCAACTTATATTGCAGCACCATTTTTCAATTAGAATATTAAAATATGTCATTGTAATTTTGCATGGCTGAAATGTAACGCTTGATTTGTATATATAATAATTAATTGAATTTTCAAATAAAAAAAAAAATAAATCCTTTTGGCCTTCCGTTACTCCTAACATCTTAATTTTAAATATTATATAACCGTTTTAAGAGTGTTCAGATTTTTAAAGGAATTTTGGGTTTTACTAACTTTTTACAATTTTTAGGCTTATGTCACTGAAGATGACGCCTTGCAACATGTTTGACGATAGCCTGTAAATTGATAGTTTGATCTCAGTATTTACAACAAATCATCTAGCTTGATTGATTCAAAGGGAGAATTAAATTCCTCTGTCTCTGTTACCATGGCAACATTAAAATATATTGTCTCTGTTACCATGGCAACATTAAAATATATTGTCTCTGTTACCATGGCAACATTAAAATATATTGTCTCTGTTA